CCTTTACAAAGAAACTACTGGCGAATTACAGCTCCATCTAAATATTATACTCCTTCATAAAGAAACTACTGGCGAATTACAGCTCCATCTAAATATTATACCCCTTTACAAAGAAACTACTGGCGAATTACAGCTCCATCTATGCTCTAGGATCCGTTATAACAGAGGTAAAAGCTATTAGGCATACTATGCAAGTATCATAAATTAGAGCACTAGTGCGAGCAAACGCTTTTTTATGACGCTCCTCCTTTTTAAACATGCGTTTTGTTTCGCGCACCCCCCTCCCGTATAGCCTCTTTGTGTGTATACATACATACACATACATATATTATATATAATACTATACATTTTCAATTTCCATGTTAATTGTTATTACTATATTAGTTAATAGTAGTGATGTTTACCGGCTCTCCTCAGTTTGCAAACCAGGAATTAGAGGATGAAATTCATAGTATGAATTAGAATTGCTTGCTTTTGTTTTTGGCATATATCATACAATAAAAACCAAATGTTAAAGTGTCTGACATATCCTCGTGGTTCGGGCAATCGACTTGCAATATGAGGGTCGCGGTTTCGAATCTACGTCTCCGAACATGCTTGCACTTTCAGCCGTGGAGGCGTTATAATGTAACGGTCGATCCCACTATTCATTGATAAAAGAGTATTCCAAGAGTTGGCGGTGGGCGTTGTTGACTAGCCACTTTCCTTCTAATTTATCACTATTAAATTAGGGACGGCTAGAGAACATAGCGCTCGTGTAGTTTTCGCGAAATTCAAAACCAACCAATCAAATGTTAAGGAAAAATTTTCCCACATTTAGCAGTTTGAAGTTACTACTACTAGCACTTCCCTAAACTTCTCCACTATTTGAGACCATTGTTACAGCCTTTGTGGTTTTTATTTTTAAATCATTCGACATTTCAGTGCGGAAAATTATTCTTTGAATAAAGTTCTCGTTATCCCTGTTAATTAGCTCAACCATGTTTGTATTACACAATACACGTGATTTAATACTTGTTTTTGCCCTCGTACAACCACTATAATATAGAGAGTTTTCAGTAAATTATAAGTTACTTTTTACACGTCCCTCAGGAGCTAAGGGGCGTCTTTACTCTACAATTTGTTCAATATTAAAAGTATGCTCAATCCGAAAACTCCCAAAGAGGGCGGTTTTGGACGTATATTTTAGAGAGAACTTTGAGTCAAGTTTTCGTTTGTTAATTAGTAAATTTTTAAGTGAAATACAGCATCCTCAAGTCTCCATACTAGCTAGTACTAAGGTTTACTCACTGGGAGTAAATTCAGTATATATCAATGAAGCATCTTTAATTAAGCAATTGCCAACCTTATATGCTTCTGCTATCATCTTTTGATGTTTAGCTTTCAATTGAGATACGAACGATTTCACCTGCGATTCGATTGGGAAGGTCGAAGCATCACGATAGTCAACAGTAGGATGAACAGGCAGGAACACTTTGAAAAAAGCTACAGGCATAATATTGTACTCGGCTTGCTGCACAATATCTACCAAGTGGTTCTAAACGGTTCCTGAATACCTCCGCGTGTCATTTGGAGACTTCCACGCTTCTTGTGCTTGGCCATTAAGCTCGTGATGCTCTGACGGATTTCAGTCACCTTACCACTTCAAATCACTTTTCGCAGCCCCAGCGCTAAAAAGAGTGCGGGAAGTGCCTTCTTTTTTGCCAATAAACATGTCCAAAAATTTCAGTTCAAATTAAGAAAAACCGGATTGGGTAGTTTGTTTGTTTTCTTAACAAAAATGTCCCCCCACTGGCTCGTGAGGGGTTGTTAAATTATTTTAGTTTTTTTTACCTTTGATAAGTTCTGTATAATGTAACGATAGTAACAAAATTAATTTTAAAATCACTGTGCTCTGTAAAGCGCTTTTAAATTTACCTTTTCCAAACAACGATGACCACAATGTCCAGCTACCACATACTTTTGCTGACCGGGTGGAATAATGACAGTTTTACCCACGTTTGCACCAGCCATAAGCGTGACAGCATCGTTCTTCCGCAGTTTTTTTGTGTAAAACAACCTCAAACCAGAGCTGTCTACTACATCTACAGAGAAGAAACCGACCACAATCACTACCGCCATCTAGGATATATAAGTACATAAATAGTTTTATTTTAATAAATAGTCTGGTAAACATGAAACTTGTAACTTAATGAAGAAAAAATTAAATTACGAAAGTATTCGTGTTATTACTGTTTTATCTGTTTAAAAATAATCTTTCGGAGAAATTTATTTTATAGTGAATTTACAAACAAAACTGACTTTACACACGCGCGCGTTTCACTGCATCTTTTGGTTTTAAATAAATCATACACACATTGGCATTTCGTATCAAAATACTTTTACCTCAATGCAAACCTAATTATAAATATAAGTAGGTGTGAATGTATCATTTTCTTGTAAGATTTCGCGACACAAAAAAGTCTTGTTACAGACGTTTTATTCTTGTCTCTTACTGTACTAATAGCATTAAAAACAAAAATAATTTTAATTACTTCTAGTCTAAGAATTAGTCTAGGAAAAAGTACTTGACAAAAAGTTATCTACGCATTGAAACGTTGAATAATTAAAAAATATACATTTTACTTATTCTTAATTTTTATCAAACATTATGTTCATATTTTAATGTTTAAATATAATATATATATATATAATACAAAATAAGAAATTACCAAATTAAAAAATATATATTCAAATATTGAATTATTTTTACAAGCTATAACTTTTACAGTAAGAAAGAATTTATATTATAATAGTTATTATATTATTATAGTCGTTTATGATAGAGATATAAAAAGTGCGTTATATCAAATTGATTTTGGAGTATCACTACGTCGTTATAGTCCATGTAGCCACGTCGGTCATACTCTATCTCGCGGACGTGCATCATGACAACTGCCTTGCAGCATAGTTTCTATTTCGAAATGCATCGTCATAAGTCTGTCGAGTCTAAAGCACGCCTCTCTTCACTGCATGCTTTCCATAAATTATCTAGTATACAAGGACAACGATTCCCAACGCCTGTTTGAACAGCCAGATTGTACATAAGTCCATAGATACTACGTCCAGCGACTTGACCTGTATTTCTTCATATAGAAGAGCAGGAATATCCTTTTCATTCTCCAACTCCTTGATTTATTTTACGATTGAACGAGAGGTATGACTGGAATATTTGTCATGATGAACCCATATCCTATTGGCCTCATTTCCAGACAGAAATCATTCTCGATTATGTTACGTGCTACAGGCTGGGGCACGTGGACGGTGTTTATCACTGACCTTCTTTTTTTTCTGTGGATTCTCACCTGTTACAAGACACTGCATTTTTCTTACTACGGCTGGGGTACGAGTTTTTGCAGATGTATGGTCCTGGTGCCCCAGGTTGATCCATATGTCTTTCTTTCTCAATGCCATTAAGCACAAGGGATGTCTCCGTTTAGAAAATTCTAAGTTTCCAATCTTTATAATCAATGAATATTTTGTAACGGAAAGGGCTGTAAAATAACTTTTCCAAAATCGATCAATTTACGATGGTATTACACTAATCATGTAACGTCAAACAATGCCAAAATGTAGTTCTGATACGTTCCCCGTTCATATGCAACTTCATATTGGTTGTGTTTGTCACGTGACTTGCTGATTTGAATATTCAAAATCGTTTTAATATAACGTACTTAATGCTCTGTAGAAATGAATTTTGAAGCAGAAAATAAAATCAAAATACACGATTTCTATTGTACTACATACCTCTGTGTAAGGCTGGATTATCGTAATGGACCTCGATCATGAAATACTTGTTTTCCATACCACCGAAAGGTATGCCAGCGTGGTCAGGAAGCACCATGGTCTAAAGCAGAATATAACAATAACCTGTACATTGACTTGAAAATAACCAGATTGCCCTCCGTAATCTGAAAAGTTTATAATTTAGGTATAAAATGTTTTCTGTGGATTTGCGTGAGGATATAAGAGAATTGATAAACTGTGTGATAGTCAGGCGCCGATCGGGATGTTCTTCGGATATCATACTTCGAGATTATACACTCGTTTGCATCACTATATATCAAGGTACGAATATTTAAGACTTTGGATATTCACCTATTCGACCTCTTAAGTTCCTTACCATCCATGAAATGATATTCCTTTTATGATAGTACAATATATCTAGGTAATAAAATATATGCTCTTAATGCTATTTATAGCGACCCACCTATAAAATTGTAAAAAGATGAGAATTAGCAAAGCATAAGACTCATTTTGTTTTCTTTAATCAGGAAACTTTATTTTTCGAATGTATTTTCTTCTCTCTATAATATAAAATGATCCCTAATATACCTGTTTCAGTTACAGCTAGCATACATGCACTAGTGCGTTACCGTTACAGGTGGCGTTTCAGATGGAAAAGTCTACACGTAATCTAAATAAATTTAAATAAAACATTATATACATGTTTTCAACGTAACAGTAGACTCAACGGTCAAGATCTGCAACTGTGAAAACTAAAATCACAAACATTTAAAATAAACCAAAATAATAAATTTGAAAACATAGCGAATATAAATTTTTAGAGATTTACTAATAATGCGTGAATTAAATAAATAAAAACTAAACAGAAATTAAATCATCAATTCACACAAAAAACTGTCTACGTCATAAGCAATTAAGTGTATAATAAACAAATTGTTGTGTGTACGTCATAAACAATTAAGTGTATGATAAACAAATTGTTGTGTGTACGTCATAAACAATTAAGTGTATGATAAACAAATTGTTGTGTGTACGTCATAAACAATTAAGTGTATGATAAACAAATTGTTGTATGTACGTCATAAACAATTAAGTGTATGATAAACAAATTGTTGTGTGTACGTCATAAACAGTTAAGTGTATGATAAACAAATTGTTGTGTGTACGTCATAAACAGTTCAGTGTATGATAAACAAATTGTTGTGTGTCTGTCTGTGAAGAAAATTTTCCAACTCCCCCGCCTCTGATAAAAATGAAACTTTCAGTTCTTGGGTATACCCAAGGTGGATTTTAAAACCCGTAATTTAATAACTTTCCCATTTTTACGGGTTTTACAATTTCAATACCACTCCACCCCATGCTTCTGCCCTATTACCTATTTCCCGAACCCTGATCGCTATAGCCCTTCGATGGTTAACATGGTAAGTCTGAGGGTTTATATCGCTAAATATTGGGGTTCGATACCAGCGGTGGACAGAGAACATATAGCCTATTGTATAGCGTTGTGCTTAACAATAGATCTCCGAGACACGTTGAGGTGTGGTAAGTGAATTAACCCGATATCTGTATCAGACAAGTCCACTAAACAGGAGATTCGGCATTATGAAACAGTGTTCAATGTATATCGGCTGAGCTAAGGTCTAGAACTAACTGGACTGAATACAAAGTTTAAGAAACTAAGAAAATAGTTTTCACTAATGAAAAGATAAAAATACAATAGGTGTGTACTTGCGTCGACAATCTCCTCTGCTGAATGGTGTATAGAGCTTCAGGCTTCATTCTTTCAGAACGACTTCCTGGAGAGCTACACCAATGGAAATGTCTAAAAATGAGCTTCCAGTTCGCAAGAACCCTCAGTTTCTTTGTCTTGGATTGCATCACCACGTGACCAGTCATTCTCTCACAACATTCGTCGGCTGAGACTTACAGACATCACCTACTCGGCTAGCAGAAAGACGCTGCAGCATTTTCTCAGGCAGAGGGGATGACATCTGATACGAAAATAGAGAGAGAGAGAAAGACAAAGCCACGGGGCAAGCTAGTTCTGAGAAACCTTAATATATTTCTGGACCACGTGTCTTATGCCAAACTGACAGAACTAATAATAAATATGAATTTCATAGGAAGGAGAAACCTCTGGTATATTTGTATATCACAGTGGTACAAGTTACATAATATTGAAAACAGTTACACTAATATGAATAATGTGGTTAATAGCAATGCATTTCCGATATGTTTTATGCCAGTATTCACTAGAACTGCATGGCGAACAATGTAAACGCCTCCCCGTGAAACCAACGAAACAAATGCTACGAAGAGTTATTGATATGATGTAATTACCGAATTAAATATTCTTACACATTAATTATAACATATAAACAACCACTACTGCTACAAGCTAGGAGTAATAAACAGTAATTAAATGGATTTTATACTTACTTCACCACCTATACCCCAGGCTGCCATGACTCCCTTACATTTCCTGAACACGGGAGGCATGTTGGGGTGATAGCACTCATGGCCCTGATGATCCAAGTAGGTTTCCAGTTTTTCAGGTGCTTCGCCTACGCACTGATAAAGTACAACATGATGAACATAACCTTCGTTTCCCGACTGGACAACTGGGACAATCTATTGCAGAAGCAAGAAATGGTGCTTAAGTTTGTATTTAATGTCTTTTTTTTTAAAATCATGAAATCCTATAGGAAAGCATTTCAATTATATTTATAAATGTTCAATATATGAAAAAACGTGAATTCATATTGATGAAACAATGTATAGGAGAGTTGAAAGTATCCATTCTACAAGGCTGAGAACTTAGAATTTCCGCCCAGAATAACACATTAGTTAAACGGTTGCGTCAAAGGATCCTCCCCCCTCGGAGAAAGAAGTTCTTCAGAATATTTACTTCATACCTTTTACTTACATTTTATCTGTCTGTTCAACCAACAGGAGAAACCAGAAAAAGAAGAAAAATAATATACAACCCGTGAGCACGAATACAGGAGAAAATTATAGCCACAGAAATTTGATTTCTATATAATTAGTTTATTTTGAAAACTATTTGTATAGTCCCTTACCAAATTTTAAAATAAACATCATTTATTCCAGCGAGAGTTATAAAATTATTTTCTTTATTTTTAATAGTAAACGTTATATGTGTATATATTATTTCAAATGTTTTTCTTGGGTTAAGAACAATAATTTGAATACAAAAATCATGTGACTTATTACAAACTTAAACCACATCAAAACAGCAGCACTTACAAACATGTGGTTTAAGGTGGATTAAGCCCCAGTAATTTTTGGGTATGGGAGAAAATCCCTAAGGGAGAGGGGGAACAAGTACTCCCCCTCCCGACTTTTTTGGGAGCCAGAACAAAGTACCCTTTTTTTTTTGAGATAATAGAAACAGAGTTTGGATCGCATACATAAACTGTATTGGGTTCATATTCTACGAGATGAAAAATATAAACACACCTTAAAATATTTCTCGTTCGATACCTTTAAATTGCAGGTTTGGTCACACATCTATACACACGCACACATACCATTGTTTGTGTGTCATTGTGTTAGTGCATGAATGTAAGTACCATTTATATTCGTACCCCCCCCCCCACACACACACACACACTTTATAGTAGCAGATTGCACCTATGGTTTTGGGGCATAATTGATGTCACTTACTACGTG